GATTGGGGTATGTGGTGGGCTGAGATATTTTTGCCAATAGGTGGAATACAGCTGGTTTTCATTTGAGAGGAAACTTGACAAGCCTAATACACTGTCACAATAATTCAGCACAAAACACTGAAGTTTAAAATGTTCTCCCATATTTTCCCAGCGTATAAATGTGACTCAAACACTTTGGAGAAGAGGAACACAGAGCTGTCTATGGAGTACATGCATGTTAATATACATATCCTTATTTTTGATGTGAAGAACAAAAAGTTTCCAAATTCTCCTGCACACTGGGAAAAAGGTAGTTTTTCTGAGTGTGAGAATGGGGAGATGAGGAAGAAGATGACTGAGAGGTGAAAGTACAAAGGAGCATTCCTCTCTGCCCTGCTACAGGTTGCCAAAAGCTCCAAGTGGACAAGGCAAAGTGAGTCTGAATGCAGAACAAAGAGGAACAGAAATATCATCTTGTTCACAATTATGAAGGGACAAATGTATTGTCAATGGGACAAATGGTTGTCATGGCCTCTATGACAACAGAAGATTGCCTGAATATTAAGAATATAGAGCTCTAAAACTATCTGCAACTCACTGGTAGAAAGATCAACCATGTCCCATCAACTCACTCTGCAAAGGTCATGAGATTTTCCCATAAACAACCAGCTGCCAAAATGGTTTGCTGGAGGGCAGGCTCTGCTGCACTGCACCACGGGCTGTGGTTCAAAGAGCCTGGAGTTGAGCGGGTAAAGTCTTGATTTGAGACAGTGCAGGAAAATCAGGGTGAGAGACAGAGGAAATCAGACAAGTATGACAACATGCACGATCCTTCTGCATGGGGCCCTGAAGCAGTGTCACTGCCTGGTGCTGGCCAGGCTCACAGCTGCTTTGGGGGCCAGTTTGCCATCTTAAATGCAGAGCTGCATTCTCGACTGTGGTATCGTGGATGAAGATTGTCTCCACAACCTAGTCTGAATTTTCATTTTAATTTCTTTAATCACCACCTTATCATGGTGAAAAATGTCCTCAGTTCACACAGACAGAGCAAAGCTATTACACAAATGAATGCCCAGACGTGGTGCTAGCTTACCCCACGTTAGATGGGAGGGAGTTTTACAAGCAGACTGACACATTTCTTTATAACAGTCTAGTATAACTGTCATTTGATTTTACCCATAAAAATCCTTCTATAAAAGCAACAACTAAGGAAAGCATGTTCTGGGCTTGAATTTCATAAAAACAGAATTGCACTTTTGATACAACTGCTCTTTTTATGATGTCTGTGAATAATTCTCCATTTAGATTTCAAATTACAGCCCTATGCAATTTTTAAGAAAGCCACCTTAAAATCTCCTTGGAATAGCCAGAAACAGACTATTACCTGTATGTAGTCTGTAACTTGCTGGTGTCTTTGTTTGGCTGCAGCGACTTCACTGTCTGAAATTGCCTCCCTCAGGGACTGCTGGCTTTTCAGGGAGTCCAGCTCTATGACAGCAGAAAGGCGGCAATACAGGCTTATAAATTTTTCCTTGTAACAGCAAAAATGAACTGTGAAAAGACCAAGTGCAAAGGAAAATTGTTACATTCTGGTTATGAAATATGAAATCCTTAGCTTTCAGGACACAAATTTTATTAAATATAATAACTGACTCTGGACAGGTTACTTTAAGCTAGAAATAAATAATACAGGCCCTGATTCTCCTCTCATTTACACTGGATTTACTCTGTAACTTCACTGATTTCCCAGAGTAATTTCCCATTTCTGTCGAAGTGAAGGGATAATCAGGTCTTTAGTATGCAGCTCCAGGGGCTATCTTGCCCCTGATACTTGAATCAGAAGGGCTGTTTCTGAGGCTTTTATGGCTCAGCATTTCTTTTATCAAGAAAGTAGTGACATGACTGGAAAATGAAACTAATCTTTTATTTTTTTTTTAATTGAGTGTTTCAGAAAGGAAGGATCATTTCTAAGGCTGATAACTTTCTCTTGGGCTAGGCTGGCCTAAATCAGGGCTATCTTGCCCCTGATACTTGAATCAGAAGGGCTGTTTCTGAGGCTTTTATGGCTCAGCATTTCTTTTATCAAGAAAGTAGTGACATGACTGGAAAATGAAACTAATCTTTTATTTTTTTTTTAATTGAGTGTTTCAGAAAGGAAGGATCATTTCTAAGGCTGATAACTTTCTCTTGGGCTAGGCTGGCCTAAATCAAATCAAGGTTTGGGGGAAACAATTTAAACTGCTGTAGGTGTTTTCACACATCATCCTCTGAACTGTTCTGCTGAAGGGTAACCAGAAAGTTCAGACATGACCTCTTGCTTTGTGCAGTTTGACTTTGGAGCAGCACAGAGCTGTCTGAGCTGCCACTACCAGAGGTAACAGACCTAACAGCTCCAGTGCCACGGAGCTTCACAAGTCTTCATTTTCCTGAGATGTTAAAGCCACATTATTCCAGAACCTGCAACTGCTCAGGCAAAATTTAGCAGTTACCTCCACGAATGTCAGTCCAGACATTCAGAAACTTGTTGGGGGAGAACAAGTTTTCAGGAATACTTCCCCATTCATTGGTGCTTCAATAAGTGCAAACATCCAGCACGATCTCCCGGCAGCAGCGAATCCTTGTCTCACCCATGGGTTACCTTACTGCTGCTGCTGCTGCTCTGGACTGGGACAGGGTATTTTTCAGGGTGTTTCAAGTGCGTGTGTTCTTACCATAAACATTAAAAAAAATAAATGAAAACAGTGTCACATAGCTACTTATTCCTTGCAAACAACGTGACTGATAAGAATAATTGAGAAGAATTTCTCAAACTAAGAAATGGAATCACAGAAACATTGTTAGAGTAACAGTAAAGACCTAATCTGAACATAGAAATCTCACAAAAAAACTGAAAGAAAGAATTCTACCTTCTGTTTTCAGCAATGCCTAGGTACTGCAGGGAGCCAGTGTGAATAGTGTGTGGTCTCACAGTGCATGTGCCATATGTGGTGGACTCTTGAGTGAATTACAGCCGCGGTTTCGGCTCCAGTGCTGGAGTTTCGAGCCTTTGTGGTTTTAAGTCAGACCCTTTAATGTTACTTTAACAAATGTTACTTCAACGTAGTCTTTTGTGGTTATGCAATTATATAGTTGGTAGCCACCAGCTAATGGGGAATGGAAGCTTCTAATATTTGAGATGTGAATCACAGTCACTTTATAGAACATCAGGGATACATATATAGTAAGTCATATAGAAATGTCATCTGCCTTTGGCCCGAGGGTTGCTTACTAAAAAAATACTGAAAAGTAAAATTCAGTTTTCTATGCTGTTTTCTTCACCATGAGCTGCTTTTCCATGGCAGCAGCATTGCTGAACAGAGAGCTGCACCTGGAATGCCTTCTGAGACACTGCTCTGGTGCATGTTTACCTGCAGCACATCATCCCTGCTTTGTCAGCCAGGTGCAGACTACAACCCAGAAATGAGTGTGCCTCCTGCCTGCAGCCTGTGCACCACACTGTGGGAGTTAAACAGCCTGCACCACCTCTAGTGTGGAGACTAATTTCATCAGGTATTAATATGCCTCATGAATTAATTTGCACAGTGATGCAGCAGTCACCTCTCACTGGGAGAAATGATATCCTCCACACACAGAGGCTAACAAGCTTCAGAGTGGCACATCAGGAGATAATAAGTGACTTAGGGTACTGCAGCCATGGCCATGTGACTCTTCTAGTTCAACTACATTAGCTTTCTTTTGAAGAGGTAACTTTTCCCTGGCAGAGTACACCACGTATTGTCTGGCTGTAACCATTTGATGGCAGCTCATCTGGCATCTGCCCTTCCACAACCAGCAGAAAACCCCAGAGCTGTCACAAGGACCACTTTGTGTGCTGTGGCTGATGTGGCTTCAATACAGCCATGTATTCCTGAAATTTGTGTTGCTGGGTGAGAGTAGGTCATGGATCTGTTGTGACTGCAGAAACACAGTCATAATCATCGTTCTCCTACATTAGTGAGTTGAATGGCACTTAGCACTGACACATGGGAAACAGGAAGGTAATGGTGTCCCATAAACACCTGAGAGAGACATCACTGAGGACACAGTTGCACTAGAGACCTGTTCTGTAATGGCTCCTGGTGTATTGACTCCGCCAGTTTTGGCTCACATCTTTCTCTCTTCTCCAAGGCAGACAAAAGAAAGATACCCAGTTTTATGGACCAGAAGGAACCAGAGGAGACTGATGTTTTAAGGCGCAGCAGTCCCCATACTTAAATATAATATCCTTTCTAAAAAGAACTATTAATTCTTTATGAGCTGCTTTTATGTGGAACCTTTCTTTTCTCTGTGGACCAAAGAAGAAGAAATGAGAAATAGAGGACCTTGAATCTAAGACATCTTATGCTTTCTGTGAGACAGCTGTTTTGGGGCTTTCTTAGCCAGTCAGCAATGCAGTGGAACAAGAGAGTTGAATCCGCTACAGTGCAGGATGTGCTCCCTAAAGAAAGAGATTCAAGTGCAGTGCTTTGCTGTTTTTCAGAACAGGCTTTTCCTGCACCACAGCACTAGGATGGTCTCCTGCATTGTCCCAGGAATCTAAAAGAAAAAGATGACCCTTGTGTGGGAAAATCTATTGAGACTTTTCACAAAGTTGCAAGGGAGTCAGACCTCGAGTAGGACCATCTGCAATCAAATTCTCATTGCAAACCCAGTGATTATCCTTGTGGCAACTTAGAGGGATGTTTTTTGCATCTCCTTTCACACTCCAATCTTGCTACGTCGTGAGTAAATTTTTGGTTCTGTTTTTTAAAGAACATCATCTTCCAAATAAGCTTATAGACACACAGTGGATAACTGTGGGCTTTGCTCTCTGCCTTTCAATGCTGTGTGCTCTAACCGCTCTGCTCGCTCTGGAACTTGTACACAGTTATAGGTAGTGTTGTTGCCAAAGCCATCATGTGATTTATTGACTCTCCACTGGGACAAGGGGGAAAACAGATACAACTTTGTGATTTTATTATAAGGGGGCTGGGTTAATATTTCTAGGTGAAGCAAGCTACTATACCGAGTTCAAACATCTGAAGAGGGAGGTTAAGAAATCCTGAGTGTGGGGTGTAAGGATTATTCTGTCCTGGGGCAGTGCAGACGTCGTCTGAGGCAGGGAGCAGGAGAAGAAAGGAGACATTGTGACCCAGTTCCAACACCTCCTGTGTGTACAGACGGAAGTGCTTAGCCTGTACAGGGACACGCGCGGGGAAAGGAATAGGAGAGAATTACAACATGGCACTTATATAAACAACACCCCAAATGATATAAAACATTAAAGAAAATTTGCAAAACATCAAGCTCAGAATTTTTATAAAACATAAATATTTGGGGGGGCTAAATGCGGGTTCATGTCACTACATAAAATAAAGCTTTAAAGCAGCATTGTTCCACATTAAATCAACACACACAGGCACAACCCCCCTGAAAACAACATTTATGTTTCTTATTAGGCAGAAAATGATCACATGCCATTTGCTTTTCAAGATTATGATTGCATAATTATGTGAAAACATGAAAATGGATTCAATTAAAAACCTTTAAGATTCAATTTAGGGTTGGTTAAGAGAAATATGCAGCTCTCCCTCAACACAGCACTGAAAAGGTTTACCAAGTGCCGCAGCAAGAGCAAATGGCACATCCAGGAGCTGCTCTGGGGCTGCTCTGAGCTGCTGTGTGCAGCTCTGCATTCTGCCCTGGGTGTGCACCAGTGGCACTGGCCATGCTTCTGCTTTCCACAGAAACAATAAAAATACAGAAATCTGTTGAATTAAAAATTCTATTTATTATCACAGAAGTTTTGTCCTGAGCCATCAAAAGATTTGCAACTGTGTTTAACTGCAAGGTCATGTTGATGTCTGTCTCTCATGCACAGTAGATGAGCTCCAATGCTTGGCTAAGCTGCAGCCTCAGGAAAATATTGCACAGTGATTTCAATATTTTAGTCCCTAGCTCTAAAAGAAGGAAAAAAACCCAGATGCACAAAAGCTACAACCTCCAAGCAAATGCAGTAACATAGAGACCTGTACAGAGCCTGATTGAATTAGAGTGACTGACCACAAGGCAGCACACCATCTGTCTTAATTTTGGGTTGACTTGAGTCTTACTTGGCTCTTCCCAGGCTGGAAGGTGCAGCACTGATGGATTCCTTTTTAAAAGCAAAGCCTAAACCTTTCAAAATCAAGAAATGTAGAACCAGATTAATTTGTTTTAAGGCCACATCTTTCTAGCTGCACGAACAGACCTTGAAGTGAATATAAAGATGACTTACTTCTACTTTAAGACCTCTTTACCCTTGCAGACCAAAATAAAATGGAATTCATGTAAACGAGAAACAAACTCCTTAGCTTATTTTTTCATGGATCTCTCACATCATAGATTATTCTCCCTGACTTTATTTATTCACATATGCATTTCTTGTACCTACATGTAAAGCAAGAAGCCAGACACCTCTGGTCACCCATAGCAATCTGGAGGTCTGGAGCTACGTGGTTTACAAGTGTTACATTTATCTATGTGTAAAAGAACAGCAAAATGCCATGTCTTCAGCAGGCCTCTCATACACCCTCACTCGTCCCTCCCGAGGAACAGTTACCCTTCTTGCCTGGAAAAACACCTATTTTTCTTTGTCAGCTGGGTAATGGCACTCAAAATGACTAGTTTTGTGCAAAAGTGCTTATTTGCACCTGCCTGAAGGTGCACAAATATGCTAAAAGATGCAAAAATAGGACCTAATAGAAATTTGTCCCCTAATCCTTATATGTTCAAATATACAGGAAAAGAACCTGGTTTATTGAAGATGTTCCCCCTCCACACACTTACAGTAAAGGAACACAAAACTTCTCTGCTTTGCTTTTCTGAATCCCAACTTGCAAGCTTGTAGCTTTTAGTGGTGTTCTAAAGAATCAGTTTTTAAGAAGGTGATAAATACCACAAAGGCAAATACCTGATGCAGAGGTAGATTGATCAGTTTGAGGAGAGCTTTCACTGCCGTCTGGAGCTCATACAAGAACAATTGAGTAGGGCAGTCTGAAGTATGATCCATACTTTCCACAGATTCTGAGCCAGAAAGTGTTTGGATCCATTCCCACTCATCTCTGTATGTTGAGTCAAGTTAAAATTAGAAATATAACAAAAGTTCAGTGCACAAGCAGGAATTCAGTGTATGTGCATTTGGGATCTGTTGATAGTTTAATCCTCATATACCAACTTGTATTTCTAAACTTGTGCAATCTGGATTGTTTGTGGCTAAAAATCTGACTTTGAAAAGTTCAGTGTTTCTAGCACATGTACATCAGGCTGAACATTCCTTGCAAACCTCTGAAGTCCAACTGCCTTTGAAATATTTCCCTAAGGCTTTTCGCTCCAGGTTTTGTTTTTCAAATTCTTCATTCCCTATCTACCACAATACTTGAGAAAACATGCATTGGAAAGAACAATGATCAGCAGGAGTTGGCTGCAGCCAAACTGCAGCCAAAGAACTTCCTGTTTTGCTTGACATATAACTATTTGTGACCTGATAAACATGGGAATAATTTTTCTGGTTCAAATCCTTAACTGACTCCGCCCAGTATTTAGTCATGAAAAGCAGCTGACATCAAACATTTGAGAAAAAACGTGTACAGGAAACCTCACTACAAGACAAGTAATAGATGCAGTACAATCTACTCCTAAATAAAGATCTGATCTTAAACTTCAAGAGTCAGGGATTGTTATAAACTCTGAGGCATTAGGCTTTATATTCCTTCCAACATTGTTGTTAGTATTAACTATCACATTCTGGATATCCAAGTTATCCATGTAGGTATCCAGTTCCTTTTTCCTCATGCAAAATTCTCAGCTGGTTGCTGAAATGATACTGGATTAAAAAGCTCCAGAAAAAGGCCAACAAAATATGTTGCCCACTAGGCAAGGACCAGGCAGTACAAACAGTGCACTTGGCAATGGACAAGGGAAGCAGTGGACATAGGGAAAATAGGTTTCCCAGAGCATGGCAATTCATTTGTAAATATGGTTTTCAGTTACTGTGTATTTGCTGTGGCTTAGAGTGACAAACCAGATATTACACAAGAGAATACACAGAAAAATCCCCCACACCAACACCCCATGGTCAGTGAAAATCCACAGAAAGGGTGGCATGAATCAGGACTGCAGGCTATGATCTTCTGAGCAGGTCACTGCCCCTGTGCAGAGCTTGAATGACCATGGAATACCATCCTTAGAAATCAGTGGGCTCATATGCACATGTTCTGGACAGGCCTTCAGGCTGCTGGGAACACACAGGTGCATCTGCTTAGCTCAGGGCAGATCTCTGGGATGGCACTCACCTGAGCCAAACCTTGCTGCCACACACCTGAACATCAGCTAAACTTTGGTGCCACCTAAAATTTTTCAGTGGCAGAAATGCCTTGGCATTTACATCTGATCACTTGTTTTGAACTTAAAACAAATGTTCTCTCTTTGTGTGTGTGTGTGTGTGTGTGTGTATGTGAAAGTATATATATATACTCACTTACTTGGAGACATTGCTGTTGTCTCGGATTTTCACATGACACAGGACATTAGGCAACTTCTGCAACACAAGCACTTTGATTTGGTCCACAGAGCTGCAGAGTTTAAGGTAGCCCAGATACAGGCCGGGAGGGAGGCGCTGCTGACTTCGTTTGTGATAGGAAAGTATGTCCTGTTGTAAGGGAAACAGCCCTACATAAAAATCTCAGATTATTTTTCCACATAAATGGCAGAGTTTGGGATCAAACAGCAACAAATGTTTTTACAGCCCTCTTTTTGTTTCAACAGGTTCCCAATTCACAAAGCATTTAAGCATATGCTTAAGCATCTGAACAATCTCTGGTAGTTTGGATGCACTTGGACAGCTTTTTACTTAAAGCCATACACAGCATCTCTGAGCTCTCCATGTCATGCAGGAATTGGCTCTAGCAACCTGAGGTTTCAATCTTCTACAAATGTAGTGTTTAAACTGGCTTGAATAACCCTCACCTCTGCCTCCTGTCTGATCTTTTCAGCAGTGAGCTGTGTCAGGGAACTGATTCCTGTGAAAAACAACCTGGGAAAAGGAGTGGTTCCCTGTTCAGGTTTGGTCCATGTCCCATGCTCCATGTCCCAGACAGAGCAGAGCAGTACTGGGGAAAAGCTGTCACCTGGGGCAGGTGGCACAGAGGGGCTGCATGAGCCAGGACTGTCACCAAAGAAATCCTGGATCTCTCCAGAACCTGTTCTGTATCACCTGTTGTCAACAGGAAGATCCCTATGAGCATGGGGTTTGGTAGTTTACAGAACATAAGTAATGGCAGCATTTTCTGAAAAAATATCTTTATCAACAAATAGAGCTTGGAAGAAATGAGTACTGATGGAGTATTTGCTGAGGCTAGGAGACATTTTTAAGGCTGTGTATAGCAGTCCTCCAAAACTACCCTAAAAATGATGTCTGCTGCCATCCTGGGCAATGTGTGCTTCTGAGTGGGTGAGGATTAAGACACCTGGCCTTATGCCTTTACTCTTGGAACCATCAAATTATCTGCCAGTGCTATGCTTGGCTCTGACCAGTGCAATTAGACCCTCATTTTCACAAGCACTTCATGAACAAAATACCCATTCGATGATTAAACAAGTAATAGAAGAAAGGGTGGGCATTAGATAGGAATGTGTAAACCATTAGGGGAACATTTTTTCCACTAGGATCTCTATGGAAATCTGATCAGGTCTGTATTTTGCTTTTCCTAATATAAAACTTTTGCCCAGATTGACATTTTTCTACACCTTTAACACACTTTAATACATTAAATCTAACATAGATCAGGTAAGTTTTATTGTCTTTTGGAATTTTTTTAATGTGCCTAAAACCTGGTAATGTATATTTTGGTTGCCTGTCCCTTCCCAGTATGAAAAGCAGAGTCTCTGCCCAAGAAAGTGCCTCTGACTCAGAAATTAACCACAGCAGTTAGTGTCTTGTTGGGAGTGCTGAGGAAGGGACTAAGACAATGATTTGCCTTCTATTTTGGGTAACTGTGCAACTGAGTTTTAGAGGGATTGGCTACTGATAGGTTGTGAGCAGTAGGTTGCTGTTACCCACAGAAAATATTCATCTTAACATGAACTGTCTCTGGTTAACAGGAGTTTCCAGATGCCCCAGTTGAAGCCCCATGGCTCTCAGTGATGGCAGCTGAACTAACTATGCCAAGCAACTTCTCAGATGGGTCCTTACCTTGGTATTTTTCTAATTGTGAGTCTAGGAGCATGTTATGCAGAAATTAGAGGGTTATGGTCAGTAAAGAATTCTTTAGCAGCTATACCAGGCTCTGAGGAACTCTGAATCCCACAGAACAAGTTTATTAAGTAGAACAGTAAAGTTTAAAACCTAGATTTAGTTTTCGAGGTTGGATGGAAAAATCCTATGGCGTGTAGAAATTTTAAGTGTCTGTATAGGTGCGTAAGAACATCCCAGTGAATTTTAAAGCTTTTTATATCCCTTGCTACAGAATTCCATAGCATGGTTTCCCGAAACTGATAGAAACTACTCGTCTCTCCTAGGACTTTGAAGTAATTTCTTTAGAATCTCATGGATATTTTGCATATTAAGGATCTGATCCCAGACCCACTGGAAGTAATATAAGTCTTTGCTTTCAATGGGAGCCTTGCCATTAATTTTATTGGGCACTGGACTAAGGCCCAAAATTCTACAAGACGCTTCCAAAAATCAGGGCTCTGGCACAGGCTTTACAAAAGCAAATAACATACAGTAAGAGAAGCAAAGCACTACCTGGATTGTTATAAGCAAGATGTCTAATGCTGTTGGCTCCTCTGGAGTTGAAAGGGATTTCCTCTGGCTTTGTAGTCTGGATACCTGCAACCATTTGCCATTAAAAAATGAATACAGACTCTCCACTTCTCTTACAGTAACTATCAGCATATTGCCATGTCGATCCTTGATTGGCTCATAAAAAACTCTGCCTAAGTTGTGAGTTCCCAGCAAATTCTAGAAAACAAGCAAATGATAAAGTTACTTATCAGTATCAGGAGAGTATTTTTTGAAACTCAACTTTGTGCTGACATTGGTCCTGCTGACTTCAACAAAAACTAGACACACAGTGTTTCTCAAGCCCTTGAACTACAGTCATATCATTCAGTGGCTAAAGGAAGATTTCCCAGGTTGGGTTTGTGGATTGAGTTTTGGATCCTCCAATGTATTTGGTCCAGCAGTGTTTAGTCCAATGTTTAATGCAACACATCAGAAAGGCTATTATGAGCCAATGCCTTTGTAAAAGGAAACACTGCAAAGTAATTCACTTATTTGGGTGAACCTCCTATTTTTGCCCAGTTATGTAAAGAAGAAAAATTCAATTTTCAAAAGTACTCAGTTGTGTCTGTTGTGATTCCTTTGGTACCAACAAAGCCCACCTGATTTGGACTTACTGAAGAGCTGAGTGCTTATCTGGACCTCCCCAGAACCAAATGTCAGAGATTACATAAAATTCTTCCTCTTTCCCCAAATCATTCATAAAGGGCTCTTTAAATGTTTTCTGCTAGGGTCATTAACTGCAATCTCCACTTTCTGTTCTATGTTTTAAAGTGATCCAGATTATTTTCAGCAACAAAAGCAAGAAATCTTCATACTTGTGTTGAATGTAAATAATTCTGGAGCTAAACTGTGGAGTGTGTTTGTGAAGGAACACAGGATTTGAAGACACATGGACCCTTTTACTTCAGATACCAAGAATGTGCTAGACAAAACCAGCAGAAACTAACAAACTACCAAGGCAAAGCTCTCCAGGAAAATATGTGAGGATTAAAGAATAGTAATTCTAAAAGACTCCACATAAAATACATATTTTGGTCAAAATCCCTTTCCTCACACAGTAAGGCATCTGCTTATAGGTGCAAACACACTCAATCCAGTGACCAGCCACTGAAGATATTCCCAGATGTCTTAAAGAAAAATGCCTAACATTTAAAATATGCTTATTGCTTTGTGATTTCTCAAGAGCTCTACAGTGAGCTGGGGAGGGAGGGGGTAGTTTAACATAAAAACTTGAATTCACAATGAAGCACATTGTATGTTTAGGGAAGTGCTGCACATTAACTTAATGACATTGTAAACCGATAGATTATCCTGAAATTATTTATCTGTACTTAGCAGGCAATATTTACTTCTAAACTCTGTTATTAAATTGTTTATAAACTTTAGTCAGTCAGAACAGTGATTGCCCTTCATGTGGCATAACTTGGCTATTTTAGCTTCATGCATCCCTCTCCAGGGCAGACTGTTGGTGCCTGTACAGCACCTCCCTCCTGCCTTTTAACTGTCCTGTCCTTTGAGGTTAGCCTCCATCTCTGATTAACACTTGAGTGTACATTTTGTATTAATCCACGTGTCTCCAGCCAGGACAAATCATTGCCATCTAGTTCTCATATTAATCAGTGCACCACGTGAACATGATGAGGTGAGAACAAACAGTTCTTTGCTGTCACTGGGTACATGTTGTGAATGGCATTCCAGCAGAGAGAATGGGGCACCTGCTAGTATCAGTATGAGACTCATTCATGTCTTTTAAAAAGCTTGATGTCTGCTTAGCTTGGCATCCCATCCCTTGTGTCTTGCTGTAGTTGTCTAGTGGTAACAACAGGCAAAATTGCAGTCTCTGTTTTCTTTGAATCTCCTGATCTAGTCCCTTAGCAGCTGTGTTGTCACTGATCTTTTCCATTCTGTCCTAAATTCCTGTGGAGTCAGTCTATTAAATGCCTCAATAAAATATATCCAACCATATAAACTTTATTGAGATCCTTCCGCTGGTGGATCCCATTAGGCCACACACCATTAGAGGTTGGCAGAGCAGTGACAATCCCTGTGCTCACCAGAGTACCAAGCTAACAGAACAGACATTTAGGGCAACAAATTTGCCAGAAATTCAGCACAGCAATATACCACATGGACACATTTGCTGTATTTCTGTGCTTCAAGCTCTGTGCTTAGCATCTCTGGTAACAAATAATAACATGGTGTACTGGGAATCCAAGTGCAGTCTGTGCATACTAGCAATGCTCTGGTAAAGATATGCACTGGGGGAATGGAACTGAGCTAACCAAAGGAATATGTGCTACCTCAGCTGAGCTAACCACACCAGAGGGAATATTCAGCTGATACAGTTAAAACTTTCTCTAGTGACAGCTCAAAGGACTGACAAGCAGCTGCTGCTTAACACAGGTGGCCCTTCAATAAAGGTCCAGCAGGCTGGCATTCCATATATTTTGGGGTACTTTGGGGAAATCAGTCAAGACAGGTGGCTGCCCAGGAAGGCTCCCCTCTGTACAGCATGCTGTGCCAAAAGGTGTAAAACAAACCCCAGATGGATATTCCTAATAATGCCCCCAAAGTGTCTGGTCCCACAGCTGCTGTAAGCAGCTTATTGCACTGCCAGACCAGAGCCCACGGGACGTGCCCAGCCAGGAGGATCTTCATTAGCACCATCAATGCACCACAAGCTTCTCTGGGAAGCTTTGGGGACTTCACTCAAACAAAAGGCAGCATAAAGTGAGGCCTGGATATACTTTTTCTGTGAGAGTCAGGCACACGGCTCTTTGAAAATGTATTTTCCCACAAAAGTAAAGATTTTTATGAAAGTGTCTGCCCTCCAGGTAGAAATTTCATGTTATCATGAAACTCACCCTCAAAGCTTTACAGATAAATGTCAGAATGTTCTGCTGGAGAATGTATAATTACCATTTGCATAACAAATAGTGCAGTGAGACACAGAAGGTTGAGGTGACCTGTTCAGTGCCCCCCATGTATCTGCAGCACCAGCTGGAATGGAACTGCTGAGAGTCACTGCTAGGCCTCAGCCACAGGGCATGGCTAGTGCATGTGGTGCTGCTCTTGTCCTTACACTGGCAAGATCTGTGTGCCACTTAATCCCTCTCAGTCTCTGGTAGGTATCTGACTGGTTCTCTGCACAAAGGTACATTTTACCCTAAATATTTTGGCAGCTCAATGAAGAACTTAATGAAAGATTCATGTTTATTTCCCCTCTGACAATCCACTCCACTCAAACAGTGTAGTTCTGTCTAGAAGCTGTACTTGAGTACTCTGTGAGCCAATGGCAACTTCAGCAGAATCTGCCTCCTGATGCAGGTTCCCATACAGCACAAGGGAGTGCTAAACCTTACCCAGAGTTTAAATGCTTCATTAATAGATTAATAATTAATGATGAATAGGCCTATAAGAGGCTTTTGAGAAGCAGATATTAGGATTGTAACTCTTGAATTCCCAATCTGCAAACCCACAGGCTTATCTGTGGTCATTATTTACTGGTTCATACCTTTTTATTTCTTCATCTGCCACTATTGTTTCTTTTTTCTACTCTTTACTTTTAATGTAACTTCTTCCTTCCAGCTGGCAGGAAAGGCTCCGAGCCTCATTTCACTGTAGATGATAACACTGCTTCAAAGCACAGGCCAGAGGGACAGCTGGCAGTACTGTCCCTTAGAGATCAGAAAGTTGCTAAGTTAACAGCCAGGAATATGCAATGGAACAAACCTGCAGCTGTGCTGCTGCTGAAAGCATCTTCTGCCTGGCCTGGAGTGCCGTTGACGAGGACACGGACACGGCCGTGTTCTGCCTCAGCCACCTGATATCATCCCACATGCAAGACAACTGCAAAAACATAGCCAGTTCAAGCAGGGTTTGTTCTCAGCATTTACCAAAGCAGAAATTAAACTAAAAAAAGCATTTTGTACTTGGAAAAATCAGTAGATATTGCTCTTTTTGAGTTTCTGCAAATGGCCATGAGCTGCCTGCACAAGCCTGACACAGATCCTAGCTCAGACACAGAAGGTATTCTGTGAGCATCATGCACCTGTGTCAGCTGGGTTTGGACTATTGTGCAAAATTGATTGGAGTATGAAAAGATAGTGTGAAGACAACTTGAATGATAGCATAACCGCAACACCAAATTTAAAACTTTCAGTTATTTCTTTGGGCTCGTTCTCTAAATGTTTATAAAACCTTTCTGTACCCACAGAGCAATCACTCATGTAGGATCATACATTTCAGAGTTCATTGTGCCACTGTCAGTGACCCAGTCAGAATTTAATCCATGTAAATGGTTTGTGAAAATTGCATTTAACATGAGTGATAAAGCACTTCATCATTTAGCTTTTTAATGACATCATTTCACATATTCAGAATTATGAGCTAAGGTCTGTGCATTGCTAGCAGCAAATCTGTAGAAGTGATAGATGAAATTAGACTCCCATTACCTTTGTGAACCACAGGAAATCCTGCATAACTGAACTACTGTGAGAGTCATCGATTTCCACAATTGGGATTTGATCTTCATTGGTTACTAACAAATTGTCTTTGTTAAAAAGTATAACAGATAAGTAGAGTCCCCTAAAGAGAGAAGGAAACACTATCAAACACCTTGCATGTCTATTCACATCCATGCCACATTTAGCCAAAGAATCATAGATGTTAAATTCTGAGGAGACAAACTGAACCTTCTGGTCTTCTGTGTTACACACATCATGCAACTTCAGCCAGTGAGTTCTGAAAAGCATTTGGGAAGCTTGTCACTTTAGATGATGTAAGAAATTACGAATCTGTGCAAGCCACTGACAGCAGTTTTAATGAGAACTTTGCCAGGGTAATCAGTAGGCAATGGAGGCTTTGTGCCTTTTGGAAATCAGAAATTTTACTAAAACTTATCATGAATGTGCTTAGTTCTGCCCTCATTTACTTTAGAGCAAACCTGAAGTAACTCAGTTGAAATCAGGCAGGTTATTATGGATTTACATTAGTGTAATTGAGTGTAATTTGGCCAACATATCTGCAAAACTGTTTATAGAGATCATTCCTTTCAATATTTACCCTTGCAATTAGTTGCATATGTTAAGTAGTTGCCGTGGGGAATTTAAAGACTCTGGAGAGCTCTTCTGAAAGAATCAAACTCTTATCGAAATACAAAGAAGAAAAGCAACCTGAACACTCCTGGCAAGGAAAGAGGTAAAACAAATCGTCAAGGCTGCGAGGTGTTTGGGTCACACTGGACTGCAAACCTAGCTCAAGATGTTACAGAATTCTACATGTGGAGCCTGTTGCCAGTGGGCTATCAAAATGTGTTATCCGAGCTTTGCACGTTGTATTACAAATAAAACAAATGCCATCGTTGCACGAGGCATTGCTTCCCAAATACCTCAGGAGCTGCATTCTGTTTGCACAGTGTTTCTCTCTGTCACAATTCGAATCCATTTCCAACAGCAGCAATGAACAGACTATTGATTTCAGCAGG